AAAGAGTTAAAATTCACTTTCCTCACTCATTCTCAGCTGAGAAGGACAAGGAGCCCACACAGACCACTAGGTCAACCAGAAAAACCATGCACAGGTTGCATCTACAGAACCAGAGGCATCCAGGCAGTTGTACAGCATGGATGTAGGAATGTGATTCAAAAGGAGCACAAATTCCTCTGCTCATCTTCCCCCTTGCTTTGCTGGTCCTAATGTAGATGTCACAACTCTGTGAGTACTCAGCTCTGCTGTTCTTGGTGATGGGACTCGTGACTAATTTATAACTCCCAAGACGAGCCTGGCTTTGCAGGCAAAGGATAGACCAACAGCTGCTCTTAGGTGGATGCACACTAATGCACAGTGTCTACAGCTCTGGGATAGCTCAGTCATAACCCCTGGAAGTGGAGGATCAAAGCCTATTGATCTAGAAATCAGTGTTGACAAAGACGATCTAAACACCAGCTGTGTCACATGGATTCAGTGTACATCTAGAAATAATAGGGACTTTGGACAAGGGCCTGGAGCTACAGGACAAGGGGGAATGGCTTCACACTGCCAGAGAGCAGAATTAGATGGGATAACGGGAAGGAATTGTTCCCTGTGAGAGTGGTGATGCACTGGCACAGGTTGCCCAGAGAAGCTGTGGCTGCCTCATCCCTGGAAATGTTCAAGGCCAGGTTGGATAGGGGTTGGAGCAACCTGGTGCTCTTCCTAACAATTGTTGGGGCACATTGGATGCTTCAATGGTCTAGTGGAAGGTGTCCCTGCCCATGGCAGGGGTTTGGAATGAGGTGAACTTTAAGGTCCCTTCCAACCCAAACCAGTCTGGGACTCCATGACTCTATTCTAAATCCTTTTCAGGTGGATGTGCATGATTTCACATCATCAGCTATTACCCTAGAACTGGTCCCTTCAAGCATGAGAGAGAGCATGGTACGGATTCCCACCACACCTGGGACGGACCAGTTACTCCCTTCTGTGACCACCTTGATAGAATCACAGACTGGTTTGGATTGGAAGGGACCTGAAAGCTCATCTCATTCCAACCCCTGCCATGGGCAGGGACATCTTCCACTAGACCATTGAAGCATCCGGTGTGTGCCCCAACAATTGCTTGGAAAAGCATTAGTTACCCTTGGCCAAAATTCCAGCTAGGAATGTGCCAACAAATTTGCCACCTGGATCACCAATTTGGGTGCTAGGCACAGGGAATTTACTAATGCGACGCAGGAATGAGGAGGCTCTGCTTGAGATCTGCATCCCTATTGCTTGTTGGGATGAAGGGGATGTCTCAGGAAGGTGACCTAAATCCCCCTTCCAGGTCTGGAGACTCTCCATCAAATGTCTGTCTGATATTGTCCCATATCACCATGACCTCATGTTGTCCAAGCAGTGCATGGCACAGCTACAACCTCTTAGGACAGGTGCACTGTGCTATCTGTGTGATGCCACATCCCTGGGAGTGTTCCAGTCCAGGCTGGATGGGGCCTGGAGCAACCTGGTCTAGTGGAAGGTGTTCCTGTCCAAGGCAGGGGGTGGAACTGGATTGGATAGTCTTTAAGGTCCCTTCCAACCCAACCATTCTGTGATTCCATGATCTGGAACTGGCCTGATGCTGCAGGATATTTATGTCACTCAGAGATGTTGTGTTACAAATTTACATACTCTTTACATGCAGCAAAGTGAGAGAAAAACTAACAGCTTTAAGAGTAATTTTAAATTGGTTTTTGTATTCTGGGAATAGTAAAAATATCTGTTCTCTAAGGCACCTTATCAGTTGCTCCTGTAACACTAAAGCTAACACTGGTTTGGAGAAAGGTCCTGCAGCTCTGAGACTTCCCTCATTACTGTTTAACATGCCAAGGCCAATTTGTGGAGAAGGTGTCCAAAAGTCATGCATTCTTTCTGCTATGTGAAACAAGCTCTGAAAATGTTAATTTCCTCAGTGTTTTCAGAACAGGTCATGTGGTGTCTGGACCACCACAACAAATTAGCTCTCGGAGTATTCCAGGAGTGTGCTAGGCCTCATCATAAAGGTGCTCACTTAACCCCTGAGCAAAAGCCTTTGCTCACAGAGCAAAGACCAACTCCAATCTGGATGTACCCAACAGGCACAGCTTAGTCCAACTCTGTAACTCTTTATCTAAGGAATCTTCATCCTTCTTCATTTTGCTGAGGAAGATGTTAAGAACTGCTGTCTTGGCATGAGACAGAGAGGGTTGAGCTGAAATAGCAGCAAATTACGCGTCTCCTAATTTTCTGCCTAGCTCTGAGGAGCCTTACAGAGAATAATTAGAATCAATAGGGAACCCAGTGCTGACCTGAAATGGAATTGGAAATGAAACTCAGCA